ATATCGCAAAATAAATGATGTGGGAAATTATGAAGATTTTGGGTCAATAAAAAAGGGGAAATGTTGGGACGTGTGTGACCGTCTTCCCGGTGAACATGGTGAACGTGCGAATAATTGTGTGCCACCCTGGGTATGACCGCGTGAACTACATTTTGTGAATGGTAGAGATCATGTTGATGTTATGGTGTGGTATGGGAGAGAGAGAGAGAGAGAGGGAGAGAGAGAGAGAGAGAGAGAGAGGGGGGGGGGGAGAGTGGGTGAAAGAATAAGATGTAGATTGATTGATAGATAGAAAGAGGGAGAGAGAAATGAACAGAGAGAGAGAGAGAGGAGGACATAGAGATAGAGAGGGGGGAGAGAGGACGAGATGGGTAAATGGAGAGAGAGAGAGAGAGAGAGAGAGAGAGGAAGGGAGAGAGAGAGAGAGAGAGGAAGGGAGAGAGAGAGAGAGAGAGAGAGGAAGGGAGAGAGAGAGAGAGAGAGAGAGAGAGAGAGATGAAGAGAGAGGAATAGAGAGGAAGAAAGCGAGAGATAGATTGATAGAGAGAGAGAGAGAGAGAGATACAGAGAGGGAGATGGAGAGAGAGAAAGAGGAAGAAATTCTTTATAGATAGAGATAGAGAGAAGAAGAAATTAAAAGAGAAGTATATATTATGAACTCACTGCCTACAGAGGGCGTCCCTGTATTAAGCCTACGGGACTAAAGTATTCAGTCGTCAACGGGTAAAGTGATGTAGAAGAAGAAGGAGAAGAGACAGAACATATTAAGAGGGTAATGAAAAAATAGATAAAATGTATCCAGAGAATGAAAGTAGTGACGACAATAACTAACTGAAAAACAACAGTTAACAAGTTTAGGAACTTCGGATTCTTTTGTTGTATATACTTATAAAGATAATCTAAAATTGTGGAATGTATTTCAAGCAATTTGATTTGGCTTGGTTTGAATAATAAGAACTGGAGGTGGGAGGGAGGGGAGAGAGCTACAGCCCCCCCCCCCCCCCAAAAAAAAAAGATAAAGAAGATTTGTTTGTATAAATACAAATAACGATATTAATATACTGTCTCGTCATATTCTACGGCAAGATGGTCTCTTTTTTGTTAATTTTATGTCTCATCTGATGATCAAATTACATTTTGAAACTATGTAACATCATTCCAGCTCACTCGCTTCGCTCCCTCACAAAATTGAGTAAGACTGCAACGTTAAACAATCAAGCAAGCGACGTCGCCCCCGCCCCCTGAAATTGTGCCCTTCCCTCTATGATTAGAAATGGTATGTAGAGAAATAAAAGGCACGATGATTACAGGGGACGAAAAAAATAATAAAACTTAACCGCTACAGAAAGCCGGTTAGGCATAAAACCACGACCTTTTATGGGCAATATGCGGTGATAAATAATCCCATTTTGGTTTAATTTCGCATTCATGAAATACGCCATAATGAAAATGAAAATATCATATATATCTGTGGCTGCATTTTTATTCTTTTTGCTAACGGTACCATCAGCATCGAAATGTGATTTTCGGTATTCAATTCACACGTGTTGTGGTAACATGTTGTGTTAGCCCTAGGATTAATGAATTCTCTATTCCCCATAGTTTTTTTGTTGGCTTTTGGCAATAGGACAATCCGAAAAGTCAAGTTTTGTTCCTGCATACTGACTTTCAGTATGGTCGGATGACTTAGTTGAAAAATAACCGTAAACACACAATCAGACTAACATGATTTTCGGTTGGTTTGACATGAAAAGCTCTTACGACTTGAACAGAAGGTTCCATTGTCCCTCGTTGTCCCACATGTGCGAATTCAGGTAAGTGATCGCATAAGATTGGAGAACATTTCCAAACAAACAACTTAAAGGGAAAGCCTACCCTGAATGTTGAAACAAGAGCATACAAATTTGGGGGATCAAGACGATTGATAGCACAAAATGGTCATATAGATGCATGGACATAATATCGCGATTACTTAAAAATGGAAATCTATATTCTGACATCAAGTTGGTTCAAATAACACCTTTAACAAGACGGATGCAGACAGTGAAAGTTGAGAAAAATCAAATAAAGAATTACAACAAAAAGAAGCAGATTGCGGCTCTGTCAACTACCCTTTGAGCATCCCATTCATTTGATCTGTAAAACGTTTTCATCGATGTATCCTATATAGATAAATCACCGAACTGATGTTCAAGCATGCACTAATAACATGATATTTCATGTTTTAATTGTATTCACATTAACCTCTTTTATTATCGATTTTGAAACTAGGAATTTTTCCAGGGGCGGGTTTTGACACGCGAATGTCAACAAAATATCCCAAGCCATAACAATACAATGACAGTTTATATAACTTTTATCTGGAGAGGGCGCATGTTGAAATCTACAGAGTACCCGTCCTCCCTTTTTCTGCTTCAAATGGTAAAACAAAGAGAAAGTGTCGATGCTTAATGAGAACCACAAATTTAGTCAAGCGCGGAAGCTTTGACGTATCATTAAATTATTAGAGAACAAAGACGATTCGTTGGACCGTTCTCGACTCTTAATCCTTGTCTGAACTCATATCAGTTTCCCCGGAATTTACACAAATCTTAATTTGAAAAGAAGAGAAAATAAAATGTTATCCCACTTGAGTATGGTTAAGATAAAACAATCACTTACATTTTCAGCCTACTTTCCCGTTTGCAATCATAACCGAAAGTTTAATTTGTGTCAAGAATATGTTTCCCTCCCAGAATATATCATGTCCATTCACCATTCATGTCTTTGAATGGTTTTCACGAATTCAACAAAACAAAGAAAATCTTTACATGACAGCATCAGTTCTGTTCTATATGGATTGAACATTTGGACAATCAGCAACAACAACAACAACAACAACAACAACAAAATAAAAACAAAGCAATAATTCCGTTCGAAAAAATATCATGTTAAATCTTCTTTAACAAAATTCAAGTTATTAATCAATAATTGCAATATAAAAAAATAAAAAAATCCATATGTGGGCTTTTAAAAAGCAAAATTGTAACGTTGACGCCCAATAAGGGACTTGAACCCTTGACCCTCAGATTAAAAGTCTGATGCTCTACCGACTGAGCTAACCGGGCTGCATGTGTTTTTTATTGATGACTCAACATTCTTAGCACGTGGGTCATCATATTTAAAAAAATATTAAAAAAATATGGAAGAAAAAATGTATACATAAATGAATAAATGCAGGAACAAATAAATATAAAAAAGGAAGACATAGCCCGATAAGGGACTTGAACCCTTGACCCTCAGAATAAAAGTCTGATGCTCTACCGACTGAGCTAACCGGGCTGCGTGCGACTTGTAAAGATGCAACATACACATTTTTGTAAATGTGTAGGTCTCTAGTACCTATTTATTATGGGGTAATTGGTTCTCGTTGAATATGAAAAAAAATTCTGAATACATTAGGTGATTATGTGTAGAAAAAGGGTTAAAGGGAGGCTTTACTACTTCAGCTAGAAGGGATTAGACCACACAGCGAGCCAGCGACGTCACTGTGACAGGTGGCTATCTCATTAACTCAGCTCTCATTTAACATAGGAAAAAGAGGATCATGGGGGACCAACAGGCACCGATTTGGGAAGTTTTCTATATAGAGGGAGCAAGTAGCTACAAGTAGGACAGTGTGCCTTTAAGGTTATTCTTCAAAATTATGCATCATCTCATTTTTTCTATGAACCAAATTCAAAAAATAGAACCATCTTTACAAAAGGTTTGATGCTTGAGGCTACACAGGGAATGGGGCGCCAGATATTCGAACAAACGTTTATATATAGGCCTATTTCTCATACATAAAACTGTGAGAGCCTGTCGATAGCAATCCCTTTCATTACACATTGCTGCTATAAGAATCTTCCACATGTGAATTAATTAATGAGAAATTTCATTAAATTATTCCACAACTTTACCACAAATCAATCTCCTCTTTAAAGATTGACACCTGTCTTGATGAAATCACCGTTTACTTTAGATAAATACTGAAATCCTGAAATCGATGAATAAACAAAATGTTGGCTATTTAATCAAATTTTAATCAGTTTAACTCCGGATGTAACAAAATAATAATTTGTATAACCTAGAAATGAATTTCCATTGGAATAGTCGGACATAGACGTATATTTGTATAAAGGAAACAATTTTGTCTCTCTGCAAATCTTCTTGTGTAGAATCAATTAATGGAACGCAATTTTGAATACTTTTACATTTGTTGAAATTAAAAATCTTTTTGCTTTAACCAAAATTGCATTTAGAAATATTACCTGGTAATTTACGTTATTTATCTATTCTCCTGTATTAGTGTCATATTAATATAAAAATCTAATTTTAACGTTTCTAATTAATGTATAATTATTGTTGAACGTCGTACACAAATAAAGGTTTTACTTCCAAAATGCACCTATAAGCGATTACGAGTAAAACAATTATTAATTTACCACTTTCCTTAGTCTACAATAGTTTCATTTCGGTATATGAGATAGGGCCATATTTTGTAGATCACTTGAATGTTAAATGTAGCATTCAATTTCTGTTGGTCATTTGGATTTTTACAAAGAGATATTAGCACTTTCGGAATTCGCTCAAACTGCCCAACCTTCTCAGTTGAGTATTAAGGGATCCGGTAACTTTGTCTCAGATTCTGAAACAAAATCCTAGATTTAGCTCATGCTGCAATGATAATTATAAACCTTTAGGTCAGTCAGGAACCTCAAGACTTTTACAAGCCGATCGCCCGTCTGATTATAAAAATATTTATGACTGGAAATCGAAACCGAATTTTGCGTTTTCATAACACTACAGTCTATCGGGTAAAACGAGTATGGTAAAGCCGGTCACTCAAAGATTTTACTTTTTTGAGGCACTTCTTGATCATTTTGTTTAGGGATTCAATATTACACCATATCACAGACACTGATAACATGTAGGGCCGTGTATCTTAGATTTAACAATGTTAAACGATGCGTTTAAACAACTTTTAATACTTTTCAATACAAACACAACAATGTTGCTAGCGTGGCAAACAAATTTTCTCTCATTAACATGTATGTTATGATAAAATTGTATGATACATATGAAACTTTGTTTAATTCAGACTTTTTCTGAAAACTTTTATATATCTAAATTCAATTTTGATACAAAACAGTTTGTCCGATCTTTCAACCTTTACCAAAAAGTTAATTGAAAAGTTTTGTTTCTTTCTATCGCCCCCTCTCTCTCCCCCCATGTTTGTTTTTCTGTGTGTCTGTCTCTCGTAGGTGTACTTTTTTTTTACTGAGCTAATTGAAAAATATCGATTGCAATGATTACATTGGTCAAGCTGTACACACATCTCGGCTTTTATTACGCCATATTATTAAAACAAAAACTTTGTCGTTAATAAATAAAAGTTCTAGCTTATTCATATTTACATTATCTAGATAAAAATTGATTGAATAAATAAGAAAGAAATAAGAAATTAGAGAAATCGAACTCACGAAATGGTTTTAATATCTCAAGGGGGCAAATAGTGAATGGTTTCATAAAGAAAAAAGCAAGGCAAGTAAATAAAAGATATATTGATCATACCAATATCTTGTAGGTATAAATACATCCTCGATTCTCTGGATAATCAGTCGTTGGATATTGCTATCCCGGTTGAGGTGAAAGAAAACGCATATGATGTCGAGAACACTGCTCTTATCTGGCTTAGTAGCCATGCTTATGGCATGCTCCCTTGCCAAACCACTGGAAGAACAAGAGGGCTACACTAAAACGAAAGTGGTGAGTGACTCCCATTAATAAGTGAATTTATACATTTTCCGAGCTACAAGACTTTATAAAAGATTGTGAAACAACAATAACCAATTTAACCAATTTAAACAGACTAAATCTAGTTGATAAAGTGAGAGATAAAATGAAGAAAAAAAAAGAGAGAGAAGGGAAAAGGTTACATTTGATTTACAAAGAAAACGTATCCTTTTTTATTCACTGGACACATTTTTGAAACTGCTCCAAGCTGTTATATGGGACTGTAAATGTAGAAAATCTTTTTTAGCCTCGGGTTTAATCTTTTATTCACTGGACAAGCAAGAGTTCTGCACGTATATTACAATACTCAATAGGTGAGTTCGTGTGGAGGCCTTTTATTTAAACTTTAAATTGTTTTCATTTAACACCGCGACGAGGGACTGACGTCCATGAACGGCCCTCAATCTAGTATTAAGCACCTATCACCTTTCTCACGAAACTACGATCCGTTAAAAAAATCAGTTCATAATCGATGGGTTAAAAAAAAGATTCAGTCTTTCTGTCGTCTCCTGCAATTTCACAGGTATTGACTGCTACTGGTATTGTGTCGTGTGTTAGTGTATTTTCTCATAAAGAGTATTTTGTTCCTGAAAAAAAAACTACGGTCAAAAACAAAAAAAATCGTTAATTTGTATTAAAAAAGCAGTAATGGTGAACTGTTCAATATCCGGTGATATTGAAATTTTGATTATTTTTCACTACGTCATTTTAATATTAATTTTTCATATTTTCCATTAGAACAAAACTGAATAGAGTTCGTACAGAAATTCTGCTATGTTGGTCATGCATGTGGTATATATTATGCAAGAGGCTCTGACACAAAGTAAATGAACCAAATAAAAAATTGTCTTAAATTTGTTACAGCTATCAGGTGCTACTTGTCCTTTAATCTTCGATCATGTTCACTTTCTCTCTCTCTCCCTCTCTCTCTCTCTCTCCCTCTCTCTCCCCCTCACTCTCCCTCCCCACAATTACTCTCCCTCTCTCCTTCCCTTATTCTCTCAATCTCTCTGTTCCTTTCTGTTCATGTAACCACAGCCTCAGATCAAGAAAGTCGAGTTCAATGGCGAAATCCTTGAGATCGCGGTAGAAGAAGTTGACCCCTTCCATCGCCCGATCCCAGCAGATGAGGGCTTCTCCCCCAATGCCTACGAAACAGACATGATGCTTAACCCAGAGCAGGAGGCAGCCTTGAGCGATCCTAAAAACTCCCGTAACAAGCGAAAGGCCATCAAGGATACCACGATGTATTGGCCAAAGAAAATCATTAACTCAGCAACAGGCCAGCATGTTATCACTGTTCCCTATGAATTCAACACCGGTAAGAAATTTCCACCTGTACTCCTTGCTGTTTTCAGTCTTACGATACTATTTGGGGACGGGGTGACGATGCAGTTATTAAGTCCATCGAATTTCAGTTAAGAGCATGATTGTCACTTGTTTACAACGTGTGTTTTGTTATAGTTAGATAGAAATGAATTGATTAAATAACGTTTACAATCATGCTTAAAAGATTAGTAATTCAGAGGTTTTATCAATAAGCGTATTAGTCATCATGAAATTGGTCATCATCATCTTATTTCAAGAATTCCCAACGTTTTCTATTAACTTTCATGACGATCGTCATGCGTCATGATGAGCAGGGGTTGATCAAACTGCCATCAAGGCTGCTATGGCTCACTGGCAGGATCAAACATGTGTCAGATTTGAAACACATAATCCCTCAGTTCCTTCGCAAGACAGGCTTACATTCATAAAGGACAATGGGTAAGTTCATCCAGCCATGTGTGCGTACGGGCGTGTGTGCACGCGCGTAGGTGTGCGTGTGCGTGCGTGTGTGTGCGTGATCGTGCGTGCGCGTGTGTGCGCGTGATTACTCGTGCATGCGTGTGCGTGTGTGCGCGCGCGCGCGTGTGTGTGTGTGTGTGTGTGTGCGCGCACGCGTGGGGGAAAGGGTGGGTGAATGTTCATTCATTAGAACGGTACCCCCAAAACGAGGACGTCCTCGGTTCGAATACCCTGTAACTTGTTTAAAATTCGAGGCCCTTTTATATAGGCATGATAGACACATGTACCATTCGTCTCAGTTTGCGTAGTATACGACGTAGAAACTAATAATTGGTAATTCCTGGCTGTTAGCTTAAAGATAAACTCCAGTACTGGTAAAAAAATAATAATAATTCACACAGAATCAAACGAAACTTACACTGAATGTTCAATATTACAAATAAATGACATGTGCCAAACAATTTTGGAATAAAATGTATACTGGCTGAGTAATGAGCATAGAAAGACAAGGAAATCAAGATAGTACTAGCCCCGACACCATGTGTGTTGTCCCATATATAGCTTTCTATGTGAGTGCTTGTTACTTTACCAAGACTCGGTCAAATTTATTATGATTTTGATGACTCCAGAACCTTTCAGTGCACACCAATACTTACATGCTACATGATCAACTGTTTCTGATCCTTTCCACACCTTTTCTTTCACAATGCAATCGCATTACCAGTACTAAAGTGTATCTTTAATTTAATAGAAAAATTGAAGACAAATCCTCAGTCAATGATAAAAGACACCGGTAGTAGCACCTGTAAAATTTAATTGGAATTACTATCTTCTTCCCTTTAGATGCTATTCATATATTGGAAGGCAGTCAGGCTCTCAACCAGTTTCTATCGGAGATGGGTGTACTCAGGTAAATATAATGATCTACATGTACGTTAAAAAACAAAACCTTTGTGACACATACCCGGATAAAGTACCTTGTCATATTAAAAAAAAAAACAACAACAATAATTAAGAAAAAAAAACGCCGAGGCAAGATGAAATTGCATATCAAGCAAAGTGAACGTAAAATAGGGTATCTTTCAACGGGTACAGATCTATTTTGTACTGGGGCGGGGGAGGGGGGGGGGGGGGGGTTGTCAACCCACTTCCATTCATTTGCATCACGATTGCACAGACTTTAAAAAAATGACCTCAGGCAAGTTCAATGTCTAAACAATCTTGTACATCACCTTTCAAAATTTGCGAATATGACAATGACGTTTTTCGTAATCGAACTTGATTTCTATGTGAAATACAAGTGTATTATTATGATTATTCAGATCGCCTTTGAGTCGATATCTAGAAAGTCCTTGCGATCCTATTTTACTCTTAACACGTTTTAGTTTGTTTGTTTGTTCCTTTCTTTTTTAATTATGCATCATTTTGAACAATATATGTGTAGAAATGATAAAAAATACGAAAGTGAATTTATATTACTCTCAAATTGTAATATTTAAAAAAAATTAAAGAGTCATTATATTAATGCATCGTTAACATACGCACATACACATTTATTACCATTTTATGTAAAGATCTAACGGTACTTTCTGAATATGAATAGTATCCAAAATGCATTATTAGAAAATTAGGGATCTCTAAATTACCAATCTTCATCACGTTCATGACCTTTCATGTCGCTTCTATGTTTCATAAGCTCGGAACCGTTTCCCATGAGATCGGCCATGCATTGGGCTTCAATCATGAGCAGTCGCGACCCGACCGAGATGAATACGTCATTGTCAACTTTGACAATATTAAAACAGACTACAAGAATAACTTTGACAAGCGGACGACCAACGACGCCATGACCAATGTGCCTTATGATTACAGTTCAGCCATGCACTACGGCCTATACGTAAGTTAGGGTACTCCACTTGATTTTCCTGATTCTTTTTGTTTTGAGGCACACTGTACCACGAAGTTCATTGTAGTTATTCAGGGAACCCGAGGAAGAACATATCGGCCCGAATTCACAAAGGAGGTTTGTCGACAAACCTTGGTTTATGTACGTCATAATCGTTTTGACGCGTTTTTTTACAAACCTGGTTTATAAAAACGCGTCGAAACGCGTCATATGACGCACGAAAACCTTGGTTTGTCGACAAACCTCCTTTGTGAAATCGGGCTTTGTCGGTTGCTCTGAAGCGGATGATCCCTTGATCTTCTTTTTTTTCTTTTTGTGTTAACACTCTGACAAATTAATTATTTCTAAAGCAGTCATTGTCTTTCAATGCTGTCAATACACACTGTCAGAAATAATTCTGACATTAAAACGAATTATGCAAACGGTTTCCAGACGAGTCGGAGACAACATGATTTAAGTACGTTTTCTATGGTTAGGAAGGGACCATGATGGATATACCGCGATTTAATTAAATTCTTTTGCATGGTGAATAATGTTATGCCTGCTATTTTGCTTGATGTTGGCTGTTGGAACGTCTACTAGACTTGCCCACCCAGGAGTAAAGTGTTCATAATCGTCCTAAGATGAGTATAGATATTATGAACCTGGAAAAATCGCTTTCTTCAAAAGCCAACAGTAATGCTAAGTGCTAAGTGGAGCGCAACGAAAACTAGTTTTTACTCAATTGTGTTGTCTAATGGTAATGAAACAGTCCGAATATGATGGAATAGAATTTCTAATGAACAACTTAGATATTTCTAAAGCAGATGACCTGTATAACAATGGGGATAAACCATGCATTTAAGTATGTTTAGAGATAAATTAAAAATGTATTGATTTGGTTATTCGACTGAACTGTAGTACTATGAAATCATTGCCTATTTTCACTTTTTCTTTGACGATACCATTAATTAACCTGTTTCTTTACTTGATCACCGTCAACAAACTTGATCGACAGGGTTTCGGCATAGACGCGAAGGTACCAACGCTTATCCCTAAGGATCCCTTATGCATGAAAGACATCGGCCAACGTCTCCGTCTCAGCTATCTGGATGTCAAACTGGCTAACTTCATGTACCAGTGCGACTCCCATTGCGCAGGTGCCAGCTCCTGTCACACTGGCTACAGAGACATGAACTGCAAATGCCTATGTCCAGAGAGTCACACCGGGGACTATTGTGAAATTGCCCGAAATGTGCAAGGTAATAAAAGAAAGAAAGAAAATCCAACCTTAAAGGTAAAGCCCAGTTTTGGAAACGCCTCCATTTCAAAAAATGAAATGGAAGCTCTTATTACCAATCATGTGAAAGAATATGTTTTGACTAATACGTGATGATACAAATTTTGCCGGGAAACCGCCTACTAAATGATATACGTGGTAAATTATTATATGTATCTGGACTGGATATATGTAGGGTAGTCCCATAAACATCTTTCTGTGTACAGTGCTTGTAACTTGACCAAGACTGGGCCAAATTTCTTATCATTTTGATGATTCCAGAACCTTGCAGTACACACCAATACTTATATGCTAGATGATCAACCTTTTCTGGTCGATTCCACAACGTTTCTTTCACAATGCAATCGCATGACCATTACTGGTCTATATCTTTAATGGACACGCTCGATAACAAAGCAGAACACTAAGAGAAACAGACTGGTGAAAGTTTGAATGAAATCGGACAAAACATAAGAAAGTTGTGAATTTGTGAACGTCACAATTGGCACTTCAAATTAGCTGAATCGGTGACGTCACTGCGACGTACTACCGGACAGCTTACATCATTCGCTTCAACTTCACAAACACAAATTAAAATGTCAACATTTATGACTCGTGGGGGGGGGGGGGGGTCTATTCTCTACAGAGGACCTATAACAATATGCTTTCCATGATATCTTTAATATCATAGAAATTAATGATATTTTTTACACTACAAATTATAGAGTTGTCCGTGACTGCCACACAATCCACGTATAACAAAATTGCCAATATTAGATTCGCATGAAACAAACATGCATAACTCTCTTATTATTGTCCGTTTTATTTCAAACTTTTTTCATTATGTTTCTCTCCTTTTCCTGCTTCCATACAAAGTAACTTATTACAAAGGTTGGATTATCCTTTAGGAGAATTATGTTGTTACGATCGTTAATATCAGCAACAACAAAAAAAAAAATCTATAGGTCGCCTACCCTATTGAAGAATTCACCCTGATCACTTTAAAATGACTTATATAGTATATAGGTGTTAAAATCCCTCTTCAGTATAATGGAAGGTTTGATCTGAATTTGGACGATTACACAGATAATCTCTGTTATCACTTTCTTTTAAAAATTACCAAAACATCACAAAGTCCAAATTGTACCCAGAATAAGCTCAACTTCCCTACTTTGGATTAAATTAAATTTGGATTAAATCAAAGCCCGAGCCAAACATGCGGCTCAAACTTTCGAGTTCGTTATATAATGGTCATCCTGGGTCAACTTGGCCAAACTGGCCGAACTTGTCAAACAATTTAAATACATTCAGTGAGATATCTCACTTTATCAGGGTAAACTTTTCAATCCGCCCCTTAAAATTCTGATTACAGCTCCATATCCTGGGGGCGTTTCACAAAACTTGTCATCAGTGACAAATGACAGTTTTTTGTTATAAGCTACCGAAATCCTTGCTTCTGATTGGTTATCAGCAGATTTGTCACTGATTTTTGTCATTTGTCATTGAAAAAGGGCTTTGTGAAACGGGTCCCAGGACTGTAATGAAGACGATCGCAACTACTTTTTCAAAAATCAACTCATGGGCAATTTTAATACCTTATTGTATATAATCTCCCATGGAAATCATGTTTGAATGACTTAAAGCCCCACTGCACTACTTATTGCTACCTGCGCCCTCTATATAATAAACAATGCATAATCGGTGACCATTGGTCCCCCATGATCCTCTTTTTCTTATGTTAATTGACAGCTAAGTTGATGAGATAACCACCTGTCTAGTGACCTTGCAGTGTGGTCGAATTCCTCCTATACACTAGTACTGAAGGCATTTAAAAGGTGACGTTCCAGGCCGATCAATTCGCCTTTGGTTGAGTTTTCAAAAGTAGTTTTATGAATGATATTTTCTTGTAATAATGGTCCCATGTGCAAACAGTGACATTGGTGTCAAGAGTTTCATTGTATTGTCTCCTATACAGCTGCTGATCGCGTCACCTTGACATCTCGAAGTGGTGAAGTAAGTTCTCCTAACTTTGATGGAAGCACCGACTACGCCGTTGATACATCGTTCATGACGTATATCAAGGTTAGAACCCGATGAATCAAACTTAAAGCTGTACTAATCAACAACAACAAAATAGAACAATGGAAACGAACAAGGTATTCTGTACCGTCCAACCATTCCGTGTCACTTCTAACGACATTTTCTAAATCATTGCGTCTGTAATTTGGCGCATGACTGGAAAGCTCCCCCGGGAGTGGAGATGGGCATACACTATGTGCGGATGAGCCTGAATCCGATGGCCGGGGTAATGATATACATATTTGGTATCTATAAATTGCGTAGAGACGTAGATGTATTTCCCGCTATATCATCACAGATCATTGATATTATTTGACTTATTTAAACAAAATTATTGTCGGTATTAATAGCAGCAGCGGCAGTAGTAGAGCTACAATGGTTGTTGTCGTTGTTTTCGTTGTTGGTGTTGTTATTGGGAAAGACAATATTCATGCTCCCCGGAAGATTGTCTGGATGACTTTGATGCACCATATACGACGCATTATCAATCAATACAGAGCATTACCGATCAAAGATTCTTACGCCAGATCTGTTAGTGAAATATAATGGAAATTACGCAACATACACGTAAGATCTTACATACGAAGAAGAATCTCCTAACTCATATAAATGTCATCACCAACAATTTTACAGAATTTTACAGAACCTTGTCAGCTTGCAAAAGAACAAGTCTTATTTCAATGCCAAATTATATCTCCATAGTAAAAGTATATATAGAGCTCTTTTCAATCGTGGAAGTTTTAAAACCAACTGTGACATGTTTCTCATGCATGTATATATATATATATATATATATATATGGGGATCGTGTACTTTACGCGTTAGTGCCACGGCTGGGACCCACAGTCCGTTGATATATACATAGACCGCGACAGCTCTACTTTAAATGTGTTTAAAGGTGTATGCATTTACAAAATATGCCAGCCTAATGCTATTTATTTGTCGAAGTAATCAGTATTAGAAGGACTTCTAGAGCCCACATCATTCATTGTTTTCAAATATTTTTCCATTTCAGGGAAACCCCAATGAGCAAATCCGCTTGAAATTCGATGCATTTGATATGGAAGCTTTTGATACATCGAGAAATAAGTGCTGGGATTACGTTAACGTCAGAGCAGGCAGTAGTTTGTATTCTGAAGGAACGGATTATTGCGGGAATACACTACCCAAAGAAATAGTAGCTGACGAGATCGTCCTAAGCTTCTACTCTGACAAAAGCGTTGCCAAAAAGGGATTCCATGGAACATTCACCAGAGAGTCAATATCAGGTAATCCGGTAGCACTCCTTAAATGTTTTACCTCACTGTGATTAGATGGTAGATTACCGAATCTTTTCGGCGAGATAACGAGATAATTTAGGACAGTTTGGAAGACGAGAAGACGAGTAGCTGGAACTCGACAAGTCTACCTGTTTAGGACTAGAATACATAAAATGCCACGATGGCGGAATCCCCGAAAAATTCGTTCAAATGGGAGAAAGGGGAAATCTGACGTATTTTCTCCTCCCCGGCCAAAGCTGTCTTAAAATTTGGGGTAGTGGTTAGGGTAATCTCGTACATTATGAATATTACGCTGACAAGCAAAAAAAATATGGCGTCAAATTATACGGGGGATTATCCCTCCTTCCCCGTCGCCCAACCCCTCATAAAACAAACAATATTAATAACAATAACAATAATAATAACAAATAATTGTGTTATTTCAAAAAAACGTTTTAAGCCATATCATAGGTAATGGGAAGGATAAAAGGGTCTTGTCCTATTAGTCTAATTGCCAAGTTTAAACAACTCGTCTTCTCGTCTCTCAACTTGTCTTTTTGTCCTCAATCATCTCGTAACTTTTATGCTTCCTTATAGTAGATGCCGTATCCGGACACCTACCCCTGGACATCCACCCCAGTCAACTACCCCCTAGGGCAACCATCCTATATGACGACAACCCCCAGACAACTTCCCCCGGACAACTACCCCTCAGGACAACTACCCCTAGACAACTACCCCCTATGATAGTTGTCCCGGGGGAAGTTGTCCTAGAGGATAGTTGTCGTAGGTGGTAGTTGTCTGGGGTTAGTTGTCTGGGGGTAGTTGTCCAGGGGTAGTCGTTCTAGAGGGTGGTTGCACTAGGGGGTAGTTGTCTGGGGTAGTTGTCCCGAGGGCAGTCGTTCTAGAGGGTGGTTGCCCTAGGGGGTAGTTGTCCTAGGGGGTAGTTGACTGGGGGTGGTTATCCTAAGGTGGATGTCCAGGGGGTAGGTGTCCTAGAACCAGTAGATGCATCCCGAATGGCTCAACAACTGTAACATCATTTCACGTGGCGTATTTGATGGCAAAGATGATCGCAAAATAATGTCGTCTGTTCCAACACTTGAACTTCATTTTCTCAAACTCGACAATTACTGCCTATCCTTCCATCACCTTAGTTTATATCAAGCTGTAATCAATAGTCTGATGGGAATTTTACATTGCCTGAATAGGTAATGTTATCGTGATGTAGTGGCGAGAATTTTGTATATCAACTTAGAAAACGACTAAAATGTTTATTATTTTTTAAGGTGTTTTGTACTGCAAAAATCTTTTCCGTTTTGGAGGACCGATATCCTATTCATTACATTTTGAGTACTCCCCCGAGAGAGAAGGTGTTTAAAAAAAAAAAAAAGATAGTAACGACTTTTTGTAGCGTACAAACAGGGGTGTGGTTGCATATACTGACCTCATTTATCTAATATTCGAAATAACCTGATTTTGCCCGATTTCTCTCAAAATGTCACCATCCTGTTACACTTATTTTCCTGCTTCCACATACACCAACTTATTGCAATGGTTGGACTGCCCCTCAAACAATCTCAAATACCATAGATGAAAAAAATCTTTTGTCAAGATTAAATTACCCCGCAATCTATATTATTTTCATTATCATTTGTCAAACGTTTGTTATCTTATTTCCAAGGAGGAGCTATTACGTGTCCTGTTCAGAAGAAGACATGTACAGGAACCATTACCCTCGCAGCAGGATGCACCGCCCAGATTACGTCGCCCAGTTACCCATCTCAATACCCCATCGATTCGAAATGCACCTACACCATCAACTCCCCAAACAACCAGATCGAACTTGCCTTTGATAACTTCAACACGGAGCAAAAGTATGACACCGTGAAGGTCACGACAGACGCCGGTGTGAGCAGGTAAGATTATGCTTCAACCAGGGGGGCGTTTCACAAAAATTGTCGTCAGTGACAGATGACAGTTTATGTTATAAGCTACTGAAATCCTTGCTTCTGATTGGTTATCAGCAGATTTGTTACTGATCTTTGTCATTTGTCATTGAAAAGAGGCTTTGTGAAACGGGGCCCAGGTTTCTAGCTTATTGAATTTTGAATGGGTCCTTGTCCTTTTCCCCATCTATCGAGTATTTTTCAGATTTTCGCTATTAATATTGTAGGGAATGTCAAGGAAATTGATTGCATTGAGGCTGTTTGAATATATTTTGATAACAATTCAATATCATTTTATTTTATATATTTTGTTTTTACTTATCTACAAGTTTTCTCTGTAGGGCCATGCATTATGGTTCAAGGCATGCCCATATAGAGAATTTTTTATGTTGAGGGTCGGGGCAAAATGCAATGAATCATTGATAATTTATTGCATTTTCTTTTTTTCTTTTTTTTTTTGTATTGTGGGGGCGGCGACGTACCCTAGCCCCGCTGCATACAGTTATGATTCAATGACAAAGCAAAGGCCTCGATACTGTGAGCCCACAGGTTCAACACCGTGTCGATGTGATATATTAGTGCCCTTTCATGAGACATTAATCCTCATTACTGTCAGTTATGACTTAGGGACGTAGGTCCCCTAGTTGATTATCATAGTAGCACACAGTAGCAGTCACGCAAAACAAACACTTGCAAATTATTATTCAATAAAATCTGAGAATATATACTATTATCTAGATCTATTAGGAATATATCATTGTCAAAATCATTCCATAAATTGGGGTAAAAATAACTATTCCACCATTATGACCAACAGCGTACTAAAGGAACCTGTCTACAAAGACCTCCTGTCTACAACACGAACGTTTTTTGTTTCCCTTGGGCGGTCGCTGTAGACATGTTTGACTGTATCAAATAAGCTTATACTGAAATAATGACAAATCTCTTTCCTGTTCCAGCTTCTCCGGGGCATCCAAGCCAGCGCTCGTTAAGAAGATGACCACTATGACAGTGGAATTCAGTTCGGACTATTCTGTTACCAGCACAGGTTTTAGTGCGACGATAACAGCCAAGGCCTTGTAGATTGATGGACAACGACTCCAAGAACAACATCCTACTTTCTTCTCTCTTCTAAAGCCCTAAAATGTGTAACTTGTTTCTTTTTTTCTAGAGGATCATAATTAAAGGCACACTGTCCTACTTGTAGCTACTTGCTCCCTCTATATAGAAAACTTCCCCAATTGGTGCCTGTTGGTCGCCCATGATCCTCTTTTTATCATGTTAAATGAGAGCTGAGTTAATGAGATAGCTACCTGTCACAGTGACCTCGCTAGCTCACTTGGTGGTCTAATCCCTTCTGGTTGAAGTAGTAAAGCCTGACTTTAAAACAATTGAAATGAAAACCATTGAGAGTTCTCTTCTTCCACTTTATACATGAATATATGTATAATCGACAATGGTGTTGATACTTTACTTGACAAACCTGCAAACCCAGAAGGGATTTATGGTGGAATCCTTGGTTGTGAATTTAATTAAATGTAATTTCGAAGTTATTTCAAGCTCATATAATTAATTTGTTCTTCGCTTAGATATTAGGCTTCTTTCACCCATTCTTCCATGTTTTATTTCGCTTTTATTAGATGACTTTAAGGAGATAATGTAATCACGAGTTAATGATCTTAGATACAGATTTCCATCATAATTATGAAATCGTAAAAGTTCAAACGGTTATGCTCCAATATCCTTCAAATGATAAGTTTGATGAGTGTTCCTCATTATGTTATTATACCTGAAATATAGCTGAAATTATAAAAGATGTTTCATTCTCTAGAATAAAGTATATTACGCAAATTAACAAATGCTGTCCAACATTAATATTTCTTTGATTTGATTTATCGTGGAGATTTACTGCAGCAATAGATTATGATGTCTATAACTCGGTTGCTTGGTTTGAGTGAAAGGTTGGTTGATTGAATAATTGATTGGATTGATTGATTGGTTGGTTAGTTGATTTGTTGATTGGTTACTTGATTTGTTGATTGGTTACTTGATTTGTTGATTGGTTACTTGATTTGTTGATTGGTTACTTGATTTGTTGATTGGTTACTTGATTTGTTGGTTGGTTAATTGATTTGTTGATTGGTTACTTGATTTGTTGATTGGTTAGTTGATTTGTTAATTGGTTACTTGATTTGTTGATTGGTTACTTGATTTGTTGATTGGTTAGTTGATTTGTTGATTGGTTACTTGATTTGTTGATTGGTTAGTTGATTTGTTGATTGAGTTGATTTGTTGATTGGTTAGTTGATTTGTTGATTGGTTACTTGAATGTTGATTGGTTACTTGATTTGTTGATTGGTTAGTTGATTTGTTGATTGGTTAATTGATTTGTTGATTGGTTACTTGATTTGTTGATTGGTTACTTCATTTGTTGATTGGTTACTTGATTTGTTGATTGGTTACTTGATTTGTTGATTGGTTAATTGATTTGTTGATTGGTTACTTGATTTGTTGATTGGTTACTTGATTTGTTGATTGGTTACTTGATTTGTTGATTGGTTAGTTGATTTGTTGATTGGTTACTTGATATGTTGATTGGTTAGTTGATTTGTTGATTGGTTACTTGATTTGTTGATTGGTTAGTTGGTTTGTTGATTGGTTAGTTGATTTGTTGATTGGTTACTTGATTTGTTGATTGGTTAATTGATTTGTTGATTGGTTACTTGATTTGTTGATTGGTTAGTTGATTTGTTAATTGGTTACTTGATTTGTTGATTGGTTACTTGATTTGTTGATTGGTTAGTTGATTTGTTGATTGGTTACTTGATTTGTTGATTGGTTAGTTGATTTGTTGATTGAGTTGATTTGTTGATTGGTTAGTTGATTTGTTGATTGGTTACTTGAATGTTGATTGGTTACTTGATTTGTTGATTGGTTAGTTGATTTGTTGATTGGTTAATTGATTTGTTGATTGGTTACTTGATTTGTTGATTGGTTACTTCATTTGTTGATTGGTTACTTGATTTGTTGATTGGTTACTTGATTTGTTGATTGGTTAATTGATTTGTTGATTGGTTACTTGATTTGTTGATTGGTTACTTGATTTGTTGATTGGTTACTTGATTTGTTGATTGGTTAGTTGATTTGTTGATTGGTTACTTGATATGTTGATTGGTTAGTTGATTTGTTGATTGGTTACTTGATTTGTTGATTGGTTAGTTGGTTTGTTGATTGGTTAGTTGATTTGTTGATTGGTTACTTGATTTGTTGATTGGTTACTTGATTTGTTGATTGGTTAGTTGATTTGTTGATTGGTTACTTGATTTGTTGATTGGTTACTTGATTTGTTGATTGGTTAGTTGATTTGTTGATTGGTTACTTGATTTGTTGATTGGTTACTTGATTTGTTGATTGGTTACTTGATATGTTGATTGGTTACTTGATTTGTTGATTGGTGACTTGATTTGTTGATTGGTTAGTTGATTTGTTGATTGGTTACTTGATTTGTTGATTGGTTACTTGAATGTTGATTGGTTACTTGATATGTTGATTGGTTAGTTGATTTGTTGATTGGTTACTTGATTTGTTGATTGGTTACTTGATTTGTTGATTGGTTACTTGATTTGTTGATTGGTTACTTGATTTGTTGATTGGTTAGTTGATTTGTTGATTGGTTACTTGATTTGTTGATTGGTTAGTTGATTTGTTGATTGGTTACTTGATTTGTTGATTGGTTACTTGATTTGTTGATTGGTTAGTTGATTTGTTGATTGGTTACTTGATTTGTTGATTGGTTAGTTGATTTGTTGATTGGTTAGTTGATTTGTTGATTGGTTACTTGATTTGTTGATTGGTTACTTGATTTGTTGATTGGTTAATTGATTTGTTGATTGGTTAGTTGATTTGTTGATTGGTTAATTGATTTGTTGATTGGTTACTTGATTTGTTGATTGGTTAGTTGATTTGTTGATTGGTTAATTGATTTGTTGATTGGTTACTTGATTTGTTGATTGGTTACTTGATTTGTTGATTGGTTACTTGATTTGTTGATTGGTTAGTTGGTTTGTTGATTGGTTACTTGATTTGTTGATTGGTTAATTGATTTGTTGATTGGTTACTTGATTTGTTGATTGGTTAGTTGATTTGTTTCTCTTCATACAGCAACAAAAAATATTGCTACTCTTAGGCTTATAAGTCTATACTAAAAAAAAGAGAAAACTGTTAATGTATAAGTGTGTGTTTAGACAGGAGCGGAGAAATAACGGGGATGGAGTATTTTAGGTGGGGGTAGCGTGTACCCCAGGTTTGCAGGTTTCAGGCCCCCTCGCAAGAAAAAAATCCGGGAGAATATAATTATATGCATGTAATTATTTCGCATTACCGCAATGGATACTCACACAGTGTAGGTTCCTCAAGAGTCGGTTGTGACAAGACGGTGACTGGTATGGCTAGTAGGAGTATGGATAATATACAGTAACCACAGCCCAATCTCACTGAACGGCGAATGCTTACAAACGTAGCGAATGTGGATTCGCCAACTTTTCTGACGAATGTTGGCGAAAATCAGCGACTTTTAGTGACGTTTAGCGATAATTAGCAATATTTGAGCGAATGTTTCCGAAAGTGTTTGCGAAAGGCAGTTGGCGACTATTAGCGACTGTAAGCAAATGGTACCGACAGTTTTTGCGAAGATTAGCAACTATTTGCCAATCCCTTGCCACCATTTGTGAACGTTTGAGACCTTTTTGCACTCCTTGTACTCAATGGGTCACTCCCACCCTCCTCTCTAAGGCTCTTACCCCCTCTCTCTCCTCTCTTTCACCCCGTTTCTTTTGTTTTCCTTTTTTCTTCTTTTGTTCCTTTTCTCCTTTTCTTTATTTTCTTTTTTTCCTTCTCATTTCTTTTCCTTTCTTTCCTCTCCTTCCTCTTTTTGTTCTCTTTCTTTCTTATCTTCTCTTTCCTTTCTTTTCCTTTTTTCCCCCTTTCCATCTCATTTTTG